TATTTATTATATTATTTATGGCATCAAGCGTGTACAGTATGAGCCAATCAGTGGCAGTAATGACAGAGCATGCGCTGTTACGCAAAAACCGTGATAGAGTGAAGCCGTGGAAGTCGAAGTGCGAAGTGGCGAGGGCTCACTGTATATCAGAAACCCTATATTCTGCCAAGTCAAGGAGTCTTTGATAACAATTAAACATTCTGTTTTCCCAGAGCTTGCATACATCTTTGTTCTTTTTCTTAGTCTCAATGTCAAACCGCAGAAGCAAACAGCAGATACTGACGCCTGGGTTATGATATCTCAGTCGTTTCAAGGCTGAGTCTTAATGGTCTTCAACATTCTACCATCATCCGACCTTCAGTAATTCCTCTCTGCTACACTGCACTTGATCAAACCCCAACAGGCTTTCTATGCCCTCCTCACCATCTATTTTAGATCACTTGTTCCCTTGTCCCTGGGTTTTTTGGCCAGGGAGTCTTACCTGAGCAGTTTCTCTTGCATGCTTGTTCACTCCTGGAGTAAACTGGATGGAGTAGAGGGAGAGGGTTGATTGAGGTTCTGATGACCCCTTCTATGGGAACTGACACTCTTCGGAAGTCTTGTTCTGAGACCCAGGGTTTGGTACCAGTAAGCTGAGTGCAGTGATAATCATGATTAAAAACAAAACACCTCCTTGCACTGGAGAGTTTCCACTTTTGAAATGGCAAAATGGTTCTTACATTTTTCAAGACTAATTCAATGGTTCCCAACCATGGCCACACCAGAAAGATCCCTTGAGGAGCTTCTAACGCAGCAGAGATGCCCAGCCTCAAGCCCCAGCCTTTGGAATCCGTTCATTTCTGGCATCAGATTTTTTTGTGTGTTGAAGATCTCTCCCAGTGACTAGTGTGCAGCTAGCATTTACCGAGAAGAAAAATTCACTGACTCCTCACAGGCCACATTGAGAGGCGAAGCTGATAACCTCACGCTCCAGCTTGCTCTGCACACAAGAGACACAGCGAGTTGATGCACTGAGGGCTTGGGTTGCGCTACGTGGTACCCACTACAAGATATACTTTTTCACCCATGTTGATTCCCGAGAGGGAACCTCAAGCACAGCCTGGCTTCGAGTGGAGACTGACATGTTGCTGTGGGTTTCAGCAGAACTTCCAGACTAAGACAGAGTAGGAAGAAAGACCTGGTGATCACTGTTGAAAACCATCTTTCTTTCCTTTTATCTATCTATCTATCTATCTATCTATCTATCTATCTGTCATCTATTTTAATTATTTTATTGGGGGCTATTACAGCCCTTATAACAACCCATACATCAATTGAATCAAACATATTTGTACATATGTTGCTGTCATCCTTTTCAAAGCATTTTCTTTCTACTTGAGCCTTTGGTATCAGCTCCTCATTTTTCCCCTCCCTCCCCCACCCCACCACCCTCACGAACCCTTGATAAATTATACATTATTACTGTTTTAATATCTTGCATTGTCTGCTATCTCCTTTCATCCATGTTTCTGTTGTTCATCACCCGGGGGGTGTTATATGTCCATCATTGCGATCACTTCCCCCTTTCTCCCACCCCTCCTACCCTCGTGGTATCATTATTCCCATTATTGTTCTTGAGGGGTTTATCTCTCCTGGATCCCTGTGTCGAGAGTTCTTAACTGTACATGCTCTTATCTGTACATGCTGTGGTCTAGCTGGATCTGTAAAACAGATCTGGGGTCATGATAGTGGGGGGTGGGAGGGAGCATTAAAGAACTAGAGGAATGTTGCATGTTTCGTTGGTGCTGTACTGCACTCTGGGTGGTTCGTCCCTTCCTTGTGACCCTTCTGTGAGGAGATGTCCAATTGTCTACAGGTGGGCTTTGGTTCTCCGCTTTGCTCCCCCTTGTTTACATTAATTTGATTGTTTGTTTTTGGGTCTTCTGATGCCTGATACCTGATCCTGTTGACTCCTCATGATCACACAGGCTGGTATGCTTCTTCCATGTGGGCTTTGTTGCTTTCCAGCTAGGTTGCCACTTGTCATCTTCAAACTTTTAAGACCCCAGACACTATATCTTTTAATAGCTGGACACTATTAGTTTTCTTCACCACCTTTGCTTATGCACCCATTTTGTCTTCAGCAATCACGTGTAGAGAAGGTGAGCATTACAGAATGCCCAGTTATTAAAACAAAGTGTTCTTGTGTTGAGGAAGTACTTGAGTAGAGGCCCAATATCTATCTGCTACCTTGATACTT